CCCCATTCCCCTGTTCCCATCTCCTCCTTCTTAGCAGGCCCAATGCATGCCCACAGTCCCACCCCTTACAACTTAGGGTCATGTTCCATTTTGGGTCTGGGGTCTTCGTCCCACCCCTTTTGTACCCCAAGAAGGGGCAAGGAGTGAGGTTGTGCTCTGGCCAGGGACGGGCATTTCTTTGGTCTTTTAGTATTTTATACCTCCTCTCCAAAGCCCCTTTGCCCCTCCTGACTGGTTGCTTGACCTTGCCTTGAGATATGGGTCGAGGCAATCTGAAAGTGTGCTCTGGAGTAACACTTTAACGGATCTTATCTGTTCCCATTGTACTAACAAATCTAGCTGACTAGGCAGAAGCAACGTCACAGTGTCTTTGTCCCTTGTTTAGACATTTTAGTATAAGAGTATCAAAAGGTCAAACCCAAAATTCTATCCCAGGCTAACAAACAGACCTATATACGAACAACGCTGTGTCCCTCTGCACTGGGCTACAGAGCCCCCGCTTTTATGGAACAGGGTTATGCTGCAAACAGCCGGACATAACAGTGACTGGCTCGCAGAGCCACTGGGTTCCTGTGGCACAGCTCAGAGGGTCTCTCACCTTGTTCAGGCATGAGACATGCACACAATGGCTAAGCAAGGCCATGCACATTCTTAATAGACAAGGGAGTGACCCAAGCCCAGCTCCAAATGTCTGCTGCTAGTTCACTATGGGACCCAAACAACCTCCTTCCCTAGATCCTGCTATCCCCAAGCTTGGTGATGATGGAAATGTGGATGCAGAGTGTGAGGTCTATCTCCAGTGCTAGAGTGGTTCTCAGTGCTCAAGCAGAAGGTGGGGTCAGGATCATTGCGAGGGGCAGCCCAACAGGGCAACGTCCTTCTTGAACTGTAGACACCCGAACTGAACACAGGAGTCCATGCTTTTTCGTCCACTTCAGCCCCTGAACCATCCTTCCTCTCTGGGGCTAGGGGTTGGGGAGGGAGCAGCTGGCAGCTCGGCATGCTGAGATTACCAGAAACTCAGAGAATTACACTCCTGTGACATCACGAAACAGGAACCCAAGAACAATTCCTTTTCCCAGACGCTAACGCTGAGTCATGCTTTCTCCTGAATATCCTGAGGGACAAATCCATCGGCCAGGGCCCAGCACAGAGTTATAGTGGACAAACAACTCCACAGGAGCTCCCAGTGAGATGCAAAATGGGCGAATGTGGCCCATAGAGACATAAGACGAAAAGGGACCTTCTGGGTCAATGAGCCCAGTCCTTGCTATGGCAGGCGACCCCGGCATATCATCTGGTGCATAAACCTGTCAAGCTCCATGTGATGTTATTGACATGAACTGGGACCATATAGATCATTGTTGCAACCAAGGTCCTGTAGTGGCACCAGATCTGGTATAAAGGAGGTCAAATAAGGAGTCTAAGACAAGGTTATGGTTTGCTGGTTATGGTTATACTATCTGTATATGTGGATCATTTTTGTAGTTGAAGTTATGAATACTGGCTCTATACTGTCTGTATTTCAAACTTCGGCTATGGTTCTGGGTGATACCCCAGACAAGTTGGTGTCAGCTCTGCCTAGCCTACTTGATGGCCCATTAAGGACCATCAGCTATACAATGAACCCATTGAGAGAAGGCAGATACACCTTGTGACTCAGCAAAGTATGCAGGGACTTGCCCATGTGACTCCAGACGCCATTTTGCTGTAATTTTCCACAGTAAGAACAAAGAGGTGTTTGTACACCTGGAAAAGACTATAAAAGGCTGATGCCTCATCTCCATCTTGTCTTCAATCCTGCTTCTTACCTCTGGAGGGACTTTGCTATAAATGGAAGCTCTACACAAAGGACTGAATGACCCATCCCAGCTGGGGATGTACTCCAGAGACTTGATTTGAACCTGCAGTTTATTCCATCATTGCTACAAGTCTAAACCAAGAACTTTGCCATTACTGTATGTAACTGATTACTTTAACCAATTCTAGCTCTCATCTAGATCTTTTTCTTTTTATGAATAAATCTTTAGATTTTAGATTCTAAAGGACTGGCAACAGCGTGATTTGTGGGTAAGATCTGATTTGTATATTGACCTGGGTCTGGGGCTTGGTCCTCTGGGATCGGGAGAACCTTTTTTCTTTTACTGGGGTATTGGTTTTCATAACCATTTGTCCCCATAACGAGTGGCACTGGTGGTGATACTGGAAACTGGAGTGTCTGAGGGAATTGCTTGTGTGACTTGTGGTTAGCCAGTGGGGTAAGACCAAAGTCCTCTTTGTCTGGCTGGTTGGGTTTGCCTTCGAGGTGGAGAAACCCCAGCCTTGGGCTGTAACTGCCCTGGTCTAAGCAATTTGTCCTGAATTGGCACTCTCCGTTGGGTCCCGCCAGAACTGCATTGTTACACTCCATCTTAAAATCAGCTGGGTTGTTTGCTCCCCACTGCTCCTGTTGGGCGGCTGTTCCAGAACCTCCCTCCTTGGATGGTCAGAAATCTCCTTCTCCTTTCCAGCCTCAGTTTACCCAGTTTCTCCCTGTTTGTTCTTTTCCCAACACTGGCCTTTCGCTTCAGGAGCTCGTCTCCCTCCCTGGTGTTTACCCCCCACCACCGCTGTATTTATAAAGCAATCAAATCCATGCTCAGCCTGTGTTGTTTTAGGCTAAACGAGCCAAGTTCTTTAGTCTCCTTGAAAGCCAGGCTCTCCATTGTCCTGACCATCCTAGGAGCCTTTCTTCACACCTGTTCCAGTCTGAATTCTTCTTTCTGGAACAGGAGTGATCAGAATTTTACACAGGATGCCAGAGGAAGTCTCACCAGTGTCTGGTATAAGGATATTAACACTTCCCTATCTCACCTGACACATTCTAGGATCTCATTTGCCTTGTTCACAGCTGCATCATAACGTGGCTCACAGTCATCCTGGGACTGACTAATACACCCAGATGTTTCTCCTCCTCTGTTGTTTCCAACTTACCCGTGGCTGTATAAAGAGGGGTGAAGTGAGTAGAAGTAGGGTGGTGACCTTACTTCTGTATTTGGCATTGGTAAGACCAATGCTGGAATACTGCATCCAGGTCCGGTGCCCAGATTGAAAAATTGGAGAGGGTGCAGAAAAGAGCCACAAACATGATTGAAGGGCTGGAGAAAATGCTAGACAGTTAGAAACTTCAAGAGCTGAACCTCCTTAGCTTATCCAAAGGGAGACTGAGAGCTGACTTGATGACAGTGGAGAAGCACCTTCACACAGCAAAATACCAGCTACTAATGGGCTCTTTAATATAGCAGGGAAAAGTATAACAAGAACCAATGGCTGGAAACTGAAGCCAGACAAATTAAATTTGGAAATGAGGCACACATTATTAACTGCGAAGGTGCTTAACCAGTGGAACAAACTCCCAAGGGAGGTGGTGGATTCTCCTGCTATCTCCAAACCAAGACTGGATGCCTTCCTGGAAGATATGCTTTAGAGGAACACATGTTTTGTGTTAGTCAAACACAAGTCATTGGGCTCAATACGGGGGTAACTGGGAGAAATTCTGCAGCCTGTGATATACAAGAGGTCAGACTAGATAGGTGGTTTTCAAACTTTTTTTCTGTCAACCGAGTTGAAGAAAATTGTTGATGCCCATGACCCAATGGGGGATGAGGGGTTTGGGGTGTGGGAGGGGCTCAGGGCTGGGGCAGAGGGTTGGGGTGCTGGGGTGAGAGCAGTGGGGGTGAGGGCTGTGGGATGGGATCGGGAATGAGGGGTTAAGAGTGTGGGAGGGAGCTCAGGGATGGGGCATGGGATTGAGGTGAGGGAGCGGGTCAGGGCTCTGGGCTCGGGATGCTGGTTGTGGCATGGGGCCGGGGATGAGGAGTTTGGGGTGCATGAGGGGGCTCTGGGTTTGGGGTGGCTCAGGGCTGGGGCAGGGGGACTGGGGCTCAGAGTTGGGGCAGTGGGAGTGTGGAGCTGGTGCTCATGGCGGGGGCAGAGTGCAGAGCTCTGTTGCCCCCAAGCCTAGGAGCCGGACCCGCTGCTGGCCACTTCTGGGGCGCAGCGCGGTGTCGGAACAGGAAGGGACTAGCCTGCCTTAGCCGGGAAGCACTGCCGACGGGACTTTTATCAACCCCATCGTTGGTGCTGACCAGAGAAGCCGCGACGCAGTGCCTTACATTCCGCGACCCAGTACTGGGTTGCAACCCACAGCTTGAAAACCACTGGACTAGATGACCTAATGGTCCTTCTGGCCTTAAACTAAATGACCTAATGGCCCTTCTGGCCTTAAACTTTATGAATCTGTGAATCATTGTCTTGAGTGGATCGTTATCTTGGATGCAACTTGAAGAAGTTGCTCCTCTGATTGCTTATGTGCACTCAACAAGAATATATGCTGGCCAAGCACAAATTACTAAATGGCAAAATAAATAAATGAATGACTAGTCCTTACCTACACCTACCAACACTAACAGGCACTCACCACATCTCAGTTCCATTAAGAAGACAGCCTCTGAGTATCTTCTTCCGGCACTTTGAGAAGTCTCCTGTGCTCATCCCTGTAAACCCTGTCTATGCTAAGAGATCAATTCTGCCAGCAGCTGACAAACCAAATCTCCTACTGAAGTCAAGGGGAGCTAAGGGTGTTCAGCATGTCCGAGGACACTCATCATCTTGCGGGAGACGGGTAGTTTTCTAAACTCAACATGAGTAGAGCTGGTAGAATATGTCTCTCAAAACAATCAAGCTCAGTTTAAAGACATTTCAGCCAGCATTGTCCAAACTCACCAGGGTCCACCAGTAACGGACGCCGAGAATTCTCCTTGCTTCATCAGATAGGAAAACTCAGTGGGTGCTGCCTACTGCCTGGGTTTGCCATCTGTCAGGCTTACTGCGTTGGGTTATTTATCAGCTTTCCGAACCGCCCACCAGGGCATGGCTCAATCCACTGGGAATTTCATTCTGATCCAGTGCATGTTGCAGATAAACATGCTTTGCCTCTCTGCCTCTCCCTCGCTT